CTGTATCCATTTTGAGTATACTGTATCCATTTGAGTACTGTATCCATTTTAGCTTCCCGACGCAAAAATCGCAAGGTGAGACAACGCCGTAAAACAGTGTCTTTGTAAGGAAGTGATTGAAGACGATGGCTAGCACTTCAATGCTATCACCATTGTTTATGCTGGAGTCACGTTATTTCTCACGTATGGCATCGTCATTTGACGTGATGACCGCATCGAAACGTTACATTTCACGTCGTCGATCACGTCAACTGGCCAATATTCCCGAGAATGCACCCAGTGCCTCACAGTTGGCATCGCGTATACGTAAACGATTGGATAGAAAGGAGAAAGAGGACGAAATAGATGGTGGCAATCGGGCGGTAGTAGAGGACGATGTGTTCCAGTTGGGTTCATTGGCCGCTGAAAGATTTTATCAGTGAGTCGTATCATTTAGCTTTTTTTATTTTGTTGTGGATGTTTTATTTATCGCTTTTTATCAAGTGTCACTTTATTTTATCAATTTTTATCAATATTATCGATGAATTTATATCGATCATTGGTCCAAAAGTTACACATTTATTCGCCTTCTTTTTTAGAAGTTTTAAATTTGTGTTATTTCGTTTATTTAGTTGAGCATTTTTGGTTTAGATTTGTGCATTATTTGGAAAGAATTTGGTCAGTTTTTGTAGTCAGTTGAAATTACTTTATTTATGAGATTTGTTATTTGATTTTGATTTTTTTATGTGAACTAGGTTTTATCATTTTACTGATCTGACTCATTTGATGTTTCAGATCGAATCGGGCGAAATTCGCCGAGATCACTTCAGTGCGAGAAAAAATTGAGAAGGAACGATGGCATCGACTGAACGATGGCTTTGATTCGGTGGGTGGAGTGAATGAGGTGAGCAGATTGATGTTTACGGATGTTTAGATGTTTAGAGCAGATACATTATTTGATTAGTTTCAGATCAGTTTACCTTTAAAAGGACAGCAAATAACAACGAAAGAGGATGTAGCAGATTCGGATGTGAACGAATCAGAAGCTGAGCCATCGATAAGGTTTAACGATCGAGGTTTTTACGTGCAAGGCGATCAGTTTACAGACGAGTACACGGCAGCGACGGTGTTNGTTTCTGAAATGTGGACAGAATTTTGGTTTGAGTTGTGGTTATGATGCAGTTGTTGTGAGATGTTGTTGAGAAGGTATTTTAGACGATATGAAGGTGTGCTACAGTACGGCGGTGCAGAAGATGCAGTGGAAGCAATTGAATTCCAAGAACCTGGACAGAGCTTAAATCCAAAGGTGGGTTCGATTCAGAGTTTTTAGGAAGTTATCAATATGAAATTTGTTTGATTTGATGGATTCTCTTTGGAAAAGAAAAATTTCGTATTTGTTGAAGAGAGTTTTGATTTGGGATTGAATAAAGAGAATTTGTATTAGTTTATTGTTATTGTTGTTTTTTGTCGGTGTACAGGATCAGGCGAGGGATTTGGATTATTTGGGAGATGTCGAGAATAGTCGAGCAGATTGGATGGAACAATACGGGAGTGTTGATGCTAGAATGCCGACATCGAATAAGGCTTGTGCTGGATGTGGAGCGAAATTCCATTGTAAAGTTAGTGGCATTTG